ATGTAGAGTTGCAATTAATAGCTCCAATTCTTTCACTAAGACGCATCAAGGTTTTGGTGCGACTAGATTCACAGAATCTGGTTTACAAAATTGTCTAATTTCCTTATACAGATAATTCTTCCTTTCTAAATCCAGGCCTAATGGTTTTATGACAGGAGGAAGCGTATAAGGTGGAAGTTTTGCTTGATCTTTTAGTAAGTCGAACTCTACTTCTTCAGAGTCAGCATAACGCTTACAGTAAACCCACCCTGGCGCGTCTTTACTGAAGCGGAAATGATGATAGCCCTTTACTCCTGCCAATTTCTTGAAGTAGGGATCAAGAAAACTTACCCAGTTGTAAGTAAGAACTATAACTGAACTGCCATGAAGTCCACAGAGTTGTGTGACATTCACGCCTGTGACAGTCGAGTTGTCGATCGTACGGGCCAACTCGGATAGGTCCGAAATAAAAGTTTTTCGGACCGCCTGCTTAGCCAAGCCAAAACACCAGTCTGGAGAGAACTTGGTGTGACCAGCAACCAGAAATGAATACAGAATGTTCCAGTGCAAACCAACAATTATTCTGCAGGCATAGTACCAAAGAAAATAATTGTTTTTATTTTGACCAGAACAGTTGTCCGCGTGAATGTAGGCGTCTCTTTCGCCAAGCCCGAATTTCCCAAAATAGTAATGAACCAAGCTGATAGTACTGTTGGCTCCCTTACCTGTGAGAACTGACTCGTCAACTAAGAAATTTACTTGACGAGGAATCGCTTCGCAGCAGACACCAAAAATAGCACATTTCCGTGGTGTTTTGAAATAAATGGGTCCCGGCTGCAAGGGATTACTTGGATAGTGGACTTGTTGTGCATAATCGTACGAATAATGCATCTTGCCCTTCAAAGAACAAGGAGGGTTGTTCTTTGGAACGATCCCTTTGTTTGCAGTCAGAACCTGGTGTGCGGTAGGCTCTACGGCTTTTACAGTAGTTCTGTAGAAGCTTCGCTCACTACTTGACCTAAACAAATGTTCTTCCTGAGCGCGTACGACTGCTGATTTCGCGTGCTCAGGAAGATTTGCTGATCGGACAATTTGAGTGTTATTATGTTGACAAGTAAAACATAAATCACTCATTGGCCGCATGATAACTACATGTGGAGTTAGCTGATTCCAAAGTTCCATGAACTTTGAGTACCCAGTAGGTGTTTGACTTTGTGCCTCCATTGCAGTTGAATAAACACGCCAAACAGAAGCTTTTGACATGTGAGAAGGCAAAAGTCGCACATCAGTACGCTTGAAGCCAGGAACACGGCCGGGCAAAACAAGCGCATGTTCTTCAGCATAGTTGCTGATGAACGTCGAAACTTGTTTAGTAGCCTCAAAAGAGCAGGTCTTTTTAGGCAGCCTACCTTTGTTTCCGTGAACACGTAAAGTAAGACCAAAGGCCCTATAATGTTCACACAGATTTGAATAGCGCTCCCTACCAACTGCATGCAAAAATAAGTACGTTTTTTTACAGATTTGGCGGCCCATGAAATAAAAGTTACAAGCAGTCCGCTTTCGCTTTCTACCTTTAACTTCGTCCCTACGCAAGTGGCAATGTAAATGAGAAAGAACAATTAAATCTAATTTTTTCTTACTCAACTGTAAACAGTTTGCACGGCTTTCGAGAACATCGCTGAAAGAGAACTCTGAACTGCAATGTTGCATCTTCGGCCCAAACTGACAACCGCATCCATTACTCAGAAAGTTTCTGATTGTCTGTAGCTCATCGCTGTCACTGTCTCTGAGATCAAGGCAATTGTCTCCCGGTGAGCAATCATCTTGGCCTACAGAAGAAGTGTCATGCTCTGAGCAAGTGCTATCAGAATCTGACGAATAAGAATCGGCATCGTAGTCAACTTGACCTTGTACTTCAGCTGAACTTGTCCAATGGAAGTACTCGTCAACTACCGCATTCAGATCAGCTTGAATAGACTCCTGATTTGCTAATGTACAGGTGTCTAAACCCACTGAGTCCATGGCTTCTAAAAAAGCCGTTATACAATGAAATAAAAACAAGCACAAAATTCTTCTAACCTGATTTAAATCCGCCGCGGAGAGAGGTCCAGGAGAAAAAGTATGTTTTCACTTTTTCTTGCCAATTTATAGCCACTTCAACTAATGAGAATCGAAAGTAATTAAATTTAGGATCGAAAGTAACCAATAACAAGGGGTTTCATAAGACCTCCTGTTTCCTCACGGGTCTGCAGCGAGTATTCGGCAAGGCGGAATAACACTCTTCATGTAAAATGAAGCGCAAGCACAAGAATTCACGCGTGAAAACACGAAAAAAATCGAGTACGAGAATAAGGATCAAAACGTTTTGACTATGTGACTGTATGTTTAACGATGTTCCACTGATTCTTGTGCTTGCGGTGATGTGTAGACAGAAATCAACCAGACAATGAATTAACGAATAATGAGTCTTTATTAAAAAACAGTTACATTTTCAACCATGGAATCTGCTTATGAGCTGATATGACAATGGATTAACGAACGAGTTTTTATTGAGAAACGGTTACATTTTCAACCATGGAATCTGCCGAGCTGAGAGGAGTAACAGTTTGTTTTTTGAGGTACCGACATTTGTTGTTAATTTTGTTTTTAATGTCACTCCATGTCTTTGATACTTCGCTGACCTCAACAGGATACACAAAGAATACCAACCCTAGAAGAAATGAAGACAGATTAAAATCCGGACTAATTTGACCGATTGCTTTACGATGTTAATATATGTAAGAAAAACGTCCTTGAGATGCGTGACACTCGA